CAGCATCATTTAAAATAGATTTCTTATAACCCCTTTGTTCAAAGTTTGTCATCATATTACTTAAATTTCTTTCAAAGTCATCAGTTTTGTGGCATATTCTTTTAAGCCTACAAAATTGACTGTATGGGAGACTCTTTTTCAATGGAAGTGGATGCTGAGAGTCAGCTCTAAGTAAAGAATTTCGAGCTGTAGGCTTTTTATATAAGTCCGTATACAGCTGATTACCCTCTCTGATGATCCACAGGTCCAAAAAACTCAAGCGCTGTTGATCATAATCCATAGTAAAAGATATATATGAGGAGCGCGAGTTCAGATAAGCAAAAAATGACTCAAGTCTCAATTTAGTACCTTTGAACAAGCAAAAAATGTCATCCAAATATCTCTTCCATAGACATATGTTTTCTTTGAATTCATTATCGTGATAGATAAAATTTTCCTCAAACAGACCCATGTATAAGTTACAGAAGGATGGTGAAAAAGGGCTACCCATAGGTACTCCGTGTTTTTGGATGTAAAAAGGTTGGCATATACTAAAAACTGACTCTTCATTGGGTGTGGCTTTTAAAGAGCACCCCCTTGTGGTGTATAAAAGAGGAAGAAACCTTGGAGATAGACTTGTGCACTCCTACCTTCCTCCTAATCAAACCACATACCAAACTATACTGACTCCTATTCCTGATGGAAATCGTCGCTGTGGTGGGTGCAGTCAGTGTAACTACACATATCGCTGCAATAGTTTTAAGCACCCTCACACTGGTAAAGAAATAAAGATCAAAGGAATTATATCCTGTAACACCAAGTCCGTGATTTATATGATCACCTGCCCCTGTGGTAAGGCTTATGTGGGTAAAACCAGCAGGGCTTTAAAAACACGGATTGCAGAGCATAGGAGTACAATCAGATGCAAAAACATGAACTATCCTGTGGCGGCTCATTTTGTTAATTTTAACCATCCTATCTCTTCCTTAAGATATATTGGCATCGAACATGTGGAACTGCCCCCTAGAGGTGGTAATCTAGAGATGCTCCTGTCAAAAAGAGAGCACTTCTGGATTCACCATCTTAAAACTTTTACTCCTCATGGACTTAATATCGAGTTTGATCTAAGATGTTTTTTGTAATAGACAAACTATTTCTGTATTTTCTAAAATGTTTTTTATGTAAATTGTTGTTTCTTGTTGTAGAATGGGCTGAACTCACTGGGTGACCTCACTTTGGGACCTCCCATTCATTGAGTGGGTATATGGGCACCTGGGCTGGCAACCATTTTGTGTGCTGTGGTCCAAGACAAGAAAAATATCTGATGAAGGCTTTTTTTTGCCGAAACGTTATTTTGTTAATAAAATAGTATTTGGACATCGGCCAACCGAGTGTGCTATGCATTTTTTCACTCTGATCTGGCTACTCCTTGCATTTGCACCTCTGCAGAAATCTTGGTGTGCGTTTTCTGTTTTCTTTTTACACCACTGTAACCATCTCTACACTTTAACTTGTAATTTCAGACTCTCTGCATTCAAACAGAAAGTAGGAGGGACTGGCAAGCATTTTGACAGCTTTAAGTTCAGTTCTACCATACAGTTGTGACCTGCTCAGTGTTAAAATATGGACTGTTTAGAAACCACATTTTCTCTGTATGTAATGTCCTTTGTTGTGTGTCGTGTCCAGGAGTTGGCGGTACTTGGGCGGCTGCGGCATCCCAGTTTGGTGGGTCTTTTGGGGGCTAGTTGCTGCCCTCAGGTCCTGGTGATGGAACTGGAACTGGCTCTGCGCGGGTCTTTGGACTCATTGTTTGAGCACGAGTCCAGTCTGAGCCACAAACTGCAACACCGCATCAGCCTGCAGGTGGCAGACGGACTCAGGTAACACTGAGTATATTTAAAGTTAAATTAAATGTCCTGTCGCCAATTTTTCCCCATGTGTTTATGCATTAATATATTGTATAAAAATCAAATCAAAATAAAGACTCTCAAAGCTCTGTACAGTCTGCACCTAATTATGAAATGTTTGTGCACTATTAGCATGTTAGTTGTTGTTAGCTTTACTGTGACACCAACACTTCGCTCTAGTCCTTTAGAGCTGTAAAAAGTGCTTATAAACGAACTGTGGAGAATAATAAGGATTCTATGAAAGGGTATGGTAAATGAGGAATAACTTTGGACTACTGCAAATACTTTAAAATTAAATAGCCTGGGACCTATATACTGCTAATTGTATGCGAAATTTACTGACAGAGAAGACATTGGACTTTGTGCCAGTAACCCAGGTCTAACTCAGGCTTCGTAATTACAGAGATATGAACCATAAACCAGGTCAACAAATCTGCAATCTGACAGTTCAACAGCAAATTCTACCATAGTGTTCTGATCTGTCCTCTAGCTCTGTTTAAACTAGAGGGATTCTACAATGTCCTGATGTAGAACTCAACTTATTTGATCTTTTTTTTTTTTTTTTTTTTCATAACAGAAAACCAATCAAAAAATCTCCCACATTAAGTAAAATTGGACTCTTTTGCAGGTACCTTCACTCGTCCATGATCATCTACAGAGACCTAAAGCCCCATAACGTGCTCCTGTTTAACCTGAAGACAGATTCTGAAACTATCGCCAAGATCACAGACTACGGCATCGCACAGTACTGCTGCAGCATGGGCGTGCGCAGTGCAGAGGGAACGCCAGGTGAGGAGACAGACAGGTGACGCATGTACAGGTGAGACACAGACAGACGAGGCAGGTGAGACAGACAGGTGAGACAGGTATGACACAGAGAGGTGAGTCTGGTGCAACACTGAGGGCACACCAGGTAAGTAGAAAGACAGATGAAAAGTACTGTGGCTGAGTGGCTAGTGCTCATGCCACATAGCAAGAACGTTCCAGGCTCAACTCCCAAGTCATCCAGGCTTTTCTGTGTGGAGTTTGCATGTTCTTACTGTGTCTTGATGGGTTTCCTCTGGGCACTATGGTTTCTCTGATCAACCCAAAACATACAGAAAGATCAAATCCTCCAACTCAGGCAGTCCTGACCACTAACTCTGGGTCCCACTGCTCCTGACAGCTTTAACCCAGAGACACTGGGTCAGATGCAGAGGACACATTCGCCTAGGTCAACAATAAAAATGTAAATCTACCATACCTTCCTCTTTTGCTTAATTTAAATTACACTATTTATTCACTTCCCTCACTTATGGTAATAACGATAATGCCCTGCGTTAGCATTATGTAAGATTGGTGAAGTATCTTGCTCAAGGACACAGCACTGAGATGCCGACAGACTACTTGTGTGCCCTGGTTCACTGTATCGTCTATGTCAACATTTATACACAGTGGATCAGAATGTGCATTTAGTCAGTTTCTGTTTTCTACTGTAACAGCCTGATGTGTCTGTGATCGTTTAACTGATTTTTATTCAAATTCCTGCTCCACAGTTTAGAAATATAAATATATTTCAAAACACATCCTTCTGTTTAGGTTTTCGTGCTCCAGAGGTGGCTCGTGGAGGACTCATTTATGACTACAGAGCAGAGACGTCTTCTCTTTTGGGCTACTCATGTTTGACTTGTTCACCTGTGGTGAGAGGATCACCGAAGGAGTCAAGTTCCCCAGCGAGTTCGACGAAGCGGCTGTGCGTGGGAAACTGCCAGGTACACAGAAATAAAATCTCCTTTGGTTTGATAAATAAATAAGTAAATTAATTAATTCAATATTAAAGTGTTTTGTTTTTTTTTAGGTTAAAGGGTCTATATCGTGCAGAATTGACTCTTGTGAGATTTAAGCCATGTTATAATATAGTTCTCAAAAACATACCTTGAGTTGTGTTTTGTTTCACCCCATTTGAATAATGTGTTTGCATGACTCTTTAATATTAGACTAGTTTTCAAGTTAACAGCTACGTTTTATCTTTTGTTCTACAGAGATAGGCAATTCCATATACAATAAATATACAAAAACAGAGTACAAAACACAGCAACTTGGTAAATGGGAAGGGGAGAGTGACTTAACGCAGGGGAGCAAAGGGGATGTTATTAACTCAACATGTTAATACATTTTTTCACTGAATATAGCAAAACAATAAACACGGTGATCTAAATATGTTATGTGTTAGCAGTTAATACGACATAGATGTTTTTAATTTGAATGTATATTCTCTTGTTGCAGACCCAGTGAAGCACTACGGTCTGAGTCCTTGGCCCAGATTCCAGGCTCTGATGAAGGATTGTCTCAGGGAAAACCCCCATGACAGACCCTCCTCTGCACAAGTGAGTCTACAGCATTGAAACTAATCGATACTAAAACTAGTATCAAAACTAAATACTCATTTGAGCAAGTATAAGTATATATAGTACTAATAAGTAAGTTCCAGTCACAGGACTGAACCTTGAATGAACCTTGAATAGTTTAGAATGATCTTGAGCTGTATCAGAACAAGTATAAGACCACATATATACTAGCATATACCCATGGACCAAAATAAAAGAAAGTACTGAAAATCAAAGTCTATTGCCTAAAGAAAAGTGTGTTTTTAAAATTTTTTCATCATCAGAATCAGTATTGCGTATTGCGTCTTCCTTAGTATCAAAATTGAGTTTGACATTTTAGTATTGTGACAGCACTACTCTGCACAGGTGAGGTTTACCTGTCACTAAATCTTTAATTTAATACTTACAATAGTCTAAATGTATTCCTCGAAAGTCACAGCCCTCATTATAATTTAGGTTATTATGATCTGGGTTATGGTTAAAAATATTAGCATATCACTTATTTCAACTTGAGGTCCAAAATGTACACAAAACTGCTACATTACATTTACATTACAATTACATCTATTTCATGCCTATGGAGCTGACTGTCCAGCACATAAAAGTAACCAAACACCAGGGCTCCCATAGCATTGTAGTCTTTGTAAATTTCTATCTTGTTTGGTTTCTTTCAGGTGTTTGATCGTCTGAACTGTGGAGACATGCTGTGTCTGCTGAATGAGCTGGTGCTGCCTTTAAATGCAGATTGTCTGGCCCTCAGCTCTGGTCCTGGTCCAGTCTCTAGACCGGTCTCTAGTTCTAGTCTGGTCTCTAGTCCTCGTTCTGGTCTGGTCTCTGCTCTGGTTGGTGGTTCTACTCCGGTGGCGTGGCTCGGAGGTGGCAGCAGCTCTAAACGTCAGGGAAACATCAGTGCAGTGAATCTGGAGACTGGCAGCGTCCAGACTCAGGTGAGAGTAAGAACAGAAATTGTGTCTTTGACTCTGCGACCTTTTCTACCTTACACTTGTTAGGCGCTAAGATTCACAAGGCTTCACTCATAGTAAACTATCTTTTTAGCCATATCTGCTCCATCAGCCCCTTTGAGCACCAGCACATTTTAATTGCTCTCTCACACACCACGTTCATACCCAGGAGAGATGGGTGAGGTGTCTTTGCCTAAGAACAAAGCCTTAAAGTGTGTGACAAGTTGAAAAATGAGCTCTCTAAACACTGAGCACAAACTTTTCAGCTATTCTACATTAGTCATTATTTGTACTTTGGACACCTTAGTCCTGGTATTTGATTTAGCGTAACTTAAATATTTTATGTGCATAGTAAATACTCCAGTGGTTCGATTTATGATGAGGGTTACAAACAAAACAGCAGCAGAGGGTGTTGTTAAAATGGTGTTGTTGATGTGAAAAAACCTCTCTCCCTCTTCTCTCTTCTCTTTCTCTCTCTCTTTCTCCCTCCTCTCCTCTCTCTCTCTCTTGCTGTCTGTCTGTCTCTTTCACTTCTCCCTTCTCTTTCCCTCATCTCTCCCTCCCCTCTCCATCCTCTCCCTCTCCTCTCCTTCTCTCTCTCTCTCTCTCCCTCTCTCTCTCTTTCTCTCTCTCGCTCTCTATCTGTCTCTTTCACTTCTCCCTTCTCTTTCCCTCATCTCTCCCTCCCCTCTCCATCCTCTCCCTCTCCTCTCCTCTCTCTCTCTCTCTCTCCCTCTCTCTCTCTTTCTCTCTCTCGCTCTCTATCTGTCTCTTTCACTTCTCCCTTCTCTCTCCCTCATTTCTCCCTCCTCTCCCTTTCTCTCTCCATCTCCTCTCACCTCCTTTCCCTCATCTCTTCCTGCCTCTCCCTCTCGCTTCAGGTGGTAGACTCCAGTCCAGTGTTGTGCCTGGCTCTGGTCCCTAACTCACAGGAGGAGGGCTGTGATTGGCTGGTGGGCGGTACTCAGTCCGGGTCCCTGTTTGTTCAGAACACTCAGGACTGGACCCAGAGGCACCATCTGCAGAGCGTGTCCGACGCTGTCACCTCCCTGTACTTCCACCTGCAGCCCAAACGCACGTAAGAAACAGAAAGTCACAGTCACAGAAATGAACCTTTCCTGAATAGCTTTAGAATGATAGTATTATGAACATGTAGAACTTTAATCTGGATTCAGTCATGTCTATTGGTTAGTGAGATGGATGAGATGTGTTTAAATGGCATTCTATGGAACTTAATAAGTAAGATATTTGTGCTCATTTTTGTTTGTTTGTTGTTTTGTTGTTCCAACAAGCATGTCCCAATTTACATTCAAATGCTTGTTATTTTAATATTATATCTGGTGAAGGATCTGCTACATCATTTTTCATCATCAAACCTGTGGATGAAGAACAAAAATCTCATATTAATGTCTTTGCAGGGAGAGGAGGAGTTACTTGCTGGTGGGGACAGCAGATGGAACTCTCACCGTTTATGAAGACTCAGCTCTCCAGGTGAGCATAAGTGATAGTGGGAATAAACCTGGACGAAAATCTCAACTCAAACCTGGACTAGAATCTCTGGACAAAAACATGAACTAAAACCTGCTGCACTAGAACCTGAACAAAACATAGACTAAAATCTGAACTATAACCTGGACAAAACATGGACTGAAACATGGACTCAAACCTGGACTCAAGTCTGGACTCAAACCTCATTTAATTTACACAATAATTATGATTTGACAAATAAAATAAAATCCACAAACTGCCACTTAACTGATGTAAACCTGTGATAAATATTTATTACATGCACTATCCACCAAACCAAGTTAGAAAAATCAATTGTATGCAAGTTTTTAAACAAAAATAATATATTCACAGTGTATAGTAGTAGTAGTAGTAGTCTTGTCTTAGTATTATCGGTATTTTGTAATCTAAATCAGTTTATATTTATAACATGTTTTTTGTTTGTGTCAGGAGGAGAATGGAGAGCCAGTGAAGACCCTGTGCTTGGGCACCATAAACACTCCAGTACTGGGTCTGGGACTGTGCAGTCACTCTGCAGACAGTCGGGGGGCGCTGTGGGGGAGCTGTGGCTCCAGGATCCTCTCGTTTACAGCAGAGTACGATGTGTGTAAAAGTATCGACACCAAACCCAGCCCCGCTCTACAGTGAGTACAAGTCTATGTCTATGCAGTCTATGGTACCAGCTTTGCGTTACAGTAAGTACCAACCCATGTTTATACCGTCTATGGTATCAGGCATACAGTCTGTGGAGTGTGACGTCCATCTAACCTGGCTCACACCAGATTCATATGTGTGACACTCTGACCTTCTACATATTTTCAATGTGGAACAACTCTCGAAAGTGACTGGAAATGACAAACAAACTTTTGTTGCACCCAGTTTAGAGAAAAACAATGAACCATACAACAGGCCCACTCTGAGACGGATTCTTGTGAGTTTGGGAACTCACAAATGTTGTGAGAATCAGTCTTACTGTGCAAGGTTAAGGTCCATGATCTGATCGAAAACCTGTTTTCAATTTCCTCTTTGTTTTGTGAACGACACACCTCACATTAAAAAAGAGTTTTAGACTGAAATGAAATGAAATATAATCCATCTATTATGAAACATTTTGCCATCTTTGCCTTAAATACATCTGTCTCTTTTGTCCCAGGTCTCGTACATTGAGCTCTGAGGCTTGTATCTCGCGGTTGGCTGTGGACAAACTGGTTTATGTGAGTAAAGTTGGAGCATGCTCAGTAGAGGTTTGGGACAGACGCACCGAGAGGATGGTGGACTGCATCGACTGTGCTCAAATGATCAGGTAAATAAAATAGAATACTATCTAATCTCTGAACATATTTGTCAACCTGGTTTATGGTTATATCTCTGTACGTAATGAGATATTAACCACCACATGAAACAAAAACTAGCACAAAGTTTAACATCTTCTCTGTCAGTACAAATAAAATAAAAGTGAAATGATTTTTTCACAATAGCTTCAGAAACTGTTGCCAGTATTTACCTCCGATGATGTGATTTCTTTCTTCTTTGCTGTACAGATGAAACCTTTTTCACTTATTTCAATATTACATATATCCGGATATTTTAAAGTCCTCACCAATTTTCAAAGAGTTCTACAATTAAGTAAACAGACATTGCAACATTCACAGGAAACAAGCAAATTGAGAACTTAAATTGTTATCTGCCTTATTGTTTTGTGCATGACCAAGCACAATAAATAAGAAAAATATATTAAAATGCTGCCTCTCTCTCTCCTCAGGCAGAGCAGCTCTCGGGGCAGACCCTCACAGCAGGACCATCCCACGGACAGCACCCCCGCCTGGGCTCAGGTCAAGTCTCTCCTGGTCCAGTCTTTGGTGTGTGTCTTTGGGTCGGGACCAGAGGAGGTCATATGATCCTCGTGGAGCTCAGTAAGAACCAGGCTCTGCAAGTTCTGGGGCCGCACTGCCAGTCTGTGCGCTGCATCGTCCCATCCAACAGCGGTAAGGAAATACTAAGTTTAGTATCAATTTATCAGAGTGGAATTATGATGGAAAATGTACAAACTAGACATTAATACAAGGGAAAAAGCTTGCGAGTGATTTCAATGCCACTAGATTAAAACCAACCAAAGGTTTACGTGATAACTAGTCATACAGTGAATTTCTAGTAAAGTCAAATGTGTCTTGCTCATAGACAGCATACTATATACACAGACTATAACATACAGACTCTATATATCATGAACATAGTTAACCTGCTCACCACTGGGTTTCTAATATGAAATGATTTTACAAAAAACATTTAAATTAATAAAACATTAATTTAAATTAAAATTTTCAGATTTACTAAACTGGAAAAATGTGGTTCTGGTTTTGGGTCGAAAACTTCCTCAGGACAAAACTCAGTTCGGTGAGTATATTTAACGCTTATTTTTACTTTTTATTTGACTCAATCACAGCTGTCTTTGGGCATGATAAAGAAAACTGCACATGTTTTGAAAAGTTTTATCATTTTCTGACTAAAAACCTGCAAATGTGTGTGTCAGAGGAGGAGTCCGTGCTGTCCATGTGGAACAGTGCTTTGGCCACAGAAGTGAGAGATCTGAGCCGTGTGTGTGAGAAGAGAGACAAGATGGCTGCCCGCATGAGGGACCAGCTTCTGCACTGAAATATTCAGGTAAACTAATAAACGTTGATTTAGTAATCAGTAGATGTACCAAAAATCACCTCTAGAGGAAAACCAGAGGACTCTTTTTCCTTTGGCCTGTAGAGGGCAGCATTTACTTCAACACATTTTCTAGTTTAATTATAATACAAAATGCTGAGATTTTTATAGTTTTGAACTCTTTATGCGTTTTGTAAAGTATAAATGTGTAAAAAAAACTGTTTTGTAATTTATAAAAAGCTTTGAACACGTGTACGAAATTTGATATAATAATGGCTATTCATTTTGTATTTCTGAGAATATCACAGCATTCTATAGGCCAATAATATTTAACACACACAGCTAAAATGAATATTGTTAAATGAATTTGAATTGTATTTTGATAATTTGTAGTTTTTTTAAATATATACATATATATATTATTTTTCTTTCTATCTTTCTTATCCGTCTTGTGTTTATTCAGGTACAGGTGTTTTAATTGCCCTTAAAATGAAAAGAAAATGCATGCCTTCTTACTGTCTGCTGTGTCACCCCTCTCCATAGATCTGACCTGTAACTCGCTGTAGCTGTGTCAATGCTTGTCTCCAAGGAGATATTTAGAATTTAGATTTTTGATTACCACAATTTAGATTTTTGATTACCACAAATTAAAACCTCTACTTGTGTTTTATGTTTTTTTTCCAGAAAGCACTTAAAAAAGGGATCTGCCCAAAGTGGATCGAAGCACAAAACCTTACCTCATATCCTCAACAAAACCAACATATTAAGACTTTTATACAGTTTAGACATTTATAAAGGGAAAACATGACTCTGTATTTTCAAAACCTCTTATTTTGTAAATGACTTTTGTGAAACTTGAGCACTCCAGTTTTTATGCTACAAAATATGCTACAAAGTTATTTTGTTTTTAGAGTTTTGAACTTTTGTTGCTTTTTGTAAATGTAATAAAATATTGACTGTTTTGTTATTAAACAACTAATTTAAGAAGGTTTGAACCTGTGTAGAGATTTTATATAATAATGGCAAGTCATTGTTTTGGTTGGGTCATTTATATATTTGACAGAGACGACTAAATCAAGACTGCAGGACATCTAAAACAAGGTATCCACAAACCACACAGAAAATCTTGTTGAGGACCAGAATTTGATCTTTAATTTGAGAAAAGAAAAAGGCGACACTGCGTTTAAAAGCCATTTGAAGAAAAAAAAAATAAAAAAAAAAATTTACAGACAGACTTGAGCATGTTAGTACAAAACAAGAAAAGCTATTCAAATGAAAATTATTTCCCCAAATCTTAAAAACACCAGTGATTTTATGTTACATTTACACAACACTTTAAAATAAGCAGCCTTCATTTTCCCCACACACTTAGAATGATTTGGTCCTAAACCAGGGCTAAATAAGGTCTACACCAAATCTAAACCAGGACTGAACCAGGTCTAAACTAGATCTGAACCTGGACTAAATCTGGTCTAAACCCGGTTTGAACCAGATCTGAACCAGGACTAAACCAGGACTAAACTAGGTCTAAACCAGGACTAAACCAGGCTTAAACCAGGACTAAACTGGGTCTAAACCAGATCAGATCTAAACCAGGTCTGAAACAGGTCTAAACCATACAGAAATCTTTAAATAAACCTTCATTTTCCCCACACACTTAGAATGACTTAGGCACATTGTTTCAAATAGGGGCTTGCAGAGTTAACCACCTGGACAACATTCGAAGAAACACAAAATGATACAATAGAAGTGAAAGGGGTTAAACACTTGAATTTACAATTTTGATTTGAGCAATTCCGATTATTTTTTTTATTTTTTATTGTTATTATTATTATTTATTTTTATTATTATTATTATTTTTTTTTTTTTTTTCAGCTAAAAAGTTGCATACTGTGGCTTTAACTTGTTTCAACAGATTTCCTCCTCTTATTTTAAACCAATTTTTCTTTCAGCACTGGTCAGAATTAAAAACAATTATGTGAAAGGTTACATGTGTCAAAATGACTCAAATCAAGATTGAAACTAAATTCATGTCATGCTAACCATCAGGTTTATGTGTGCGTGTGTCTGTTTACTGCATAAGTCACATTAAAGGTGCTCTGTGTTACAGATTCAAGTATCGCTCATGAAAACAGTAGACTTCATCAGGATTTGCTTTTTCTGTTTGGGAAAAATGTGAAATACTGTGAGATATTTAACAGTACACAAATCGGACATAATATTTCTAATACATAGTCCGAAACCAGGTACAGGATTACACCAGGACTAAATCAGAACTAAGAACACACCTTGGCAGAACTAAACCAGGTTTCACCAGGGTCTAAACCAGGACTCAACCTGATTTCACTCAGCCTGGACTGAACCAAGTCTAAACCAAGTTTACTCTCGGACTAAACCAGGTCTCACTCAAAACTAGGAATACAACATGTGTAGCTAGCTCAGGAGAAAAACAAGTCTAGTAGAACTAAACCTGATTTAAACAAGGACTAAACCAAGACTAAACCAGGTTAGAGCCTGACCATAGGCTGCTGTCTGTCCTCCTAATGTTATGGCTGATTTGTGTTTACTGAAATATCAGAGTTATTGTTTTTTTTGTGTTTTTTTTTTTTTTTTATCATTAGAATCTTTAAAATAAGAAAAAAGCAGTGCACATTTTCAAGTATCAAACGTCCAGGAGACTTGTTTATACTGCTTCACTGAGGCCAGATCAGTGTTGGGAAGAATACCTCCAAAATGTATTTCATTACAGAATACTCAATACCAGCTTTAAAATGTACAATGTCCAATCAGAATACAGAGTAAAAAAATGCAACCTGGGTTTAAAACAAAGGTTGATAGTACTTAGTAACATTTACAACAGTAACATTTTTTAAGAACGCTGCATACTTTTACTCTTACTCGAGTAATATATTGTACAGTGTAATAGTACTCTAACTTGAGTTATATATTGTACAGTGTAACAGTACTCTTGAGTACATTTGAGTAAAAGTTGTGGTTGCTCTTCCCACTGTGAGGAAGACTAAAGTAAGAAAAGCTTTATGTGACAATAAGAAATGATTTGAACATTTGTGATTCTTGCACCGCTCCTTCAGATGTAATGTACAGCTGTTTGTCTCTTTTTTTTCCTCACTAATACTGTGCCATCTGAAGCTTAAAGATACACTATGTAACATTTTGTAATTGCATACATGCTAGATAAATAACAAACTTTAGAACATTCCAGGCAAAGCATTAACATCTCCATGGTAACAAGCAGATGGCTGAACCTCCATTAGAAAAGTTACATAGTGTATATTTAACTTGCATCAAATAACTGATTTTAGGAAAGTAATTGTGTTTTGAATAACACCTAAATGAAAGTGGAAGTATTCTGAATATGTATTTTTGGTACATGGTTTTTACTTCCCAACACTGTGACCAGAAGAATGAACTGTAATCAGAGGAGCCGTACCGCCACGGCCAATCACAGGAGCCGAACCGTAACAGCCAATCAGAGGAGCCAAACGGTAACAGCCAATCAGAGGAGCCGCTACAAAAATACCATTTTCAGCAGGACTTGAACTCAGTACCACCCAAAGTCACCTCTAGACCTTTAAACTTTACAATTTATCGTAAATTATTCTCATAAGAAATGTTTTCGGACAAACTTTGGTACACAATTGGAAATTTCAAATTACAACTAAAAAAAAAACAGAACATTTTAAATAGCAATGTTAATGTTACAGGTTTCTTGGTGTACAACTAGAACTCTACAACATGACCAAATGTGTCCTATTATTGAAATGCCGGGGGCGCTATGCTTGAATAGAATCTTCTACACCAATTGGTTATCAACATGATTTAACTTTCATTTTCAAAACTTTTAAAATTTTAATTTCAAAACAAAAATTATACTAGATTTTACCAGGGGCCAAACTATTTAAGTGCATATTTTTGTGGTTTCAATGTGGTGTCATATTAGTATCACCAAAACAGATTGTCTTTCTGTGCACACAAAAATGTATGCTGTCATTTTCAATTTGATTTTGTCAATCTTTCTATAAGAAGTTAGTGCAATAATCAAATCACAATTGAGTTAACATGTGGTTCTAAAGAATATATACACACTACCAGTCAAAAGTTTGGACAAAGAAAAAAAAAAGTTAAATAACTCAACTAAATAGTTTTTAAATTTTATATTCAATATCCAAAAAGCAGCCACCCTTTGCTTTGTCAACAGTATTGCAAACCCTTGGCCTTCTCTTAAAGAGCTTCTTGGGTAAGTCTCCTGAAATGGTTTTCACTTCTGTGTCTTATCAGGGTCAAGAAATGCAAAGCAGGGTTCAAAGCAAAGGGTGGATAAAAACATTTTAAGTTTTGAGGTATTGTGAGGTTCATATTGTTTATGTTTTGTTTACTACATTACATATGTGTGATTCTTAGTACTGAGGCCTTCAGTGAGCATTTACAGTGCAAATAATCATGGAAATAAAGAAGAAAAAATTAAGAAGTGTGTCCAAACTTTTAACTGGTGGTGTATAGCAAATGAACTCTAGCATTGCTTTGCTAAATACATTTTTCAGTCATTTTGATGTAACAAAGGAAGGAAGATCTTGGAGTACATTTAACTAACAATACATTTTGATTGGCCAAACATTTGGCTTCATGATTTCAAATTTGAAATGTACACTTATTTTAAGTTTGCTCGCTTCTTTTGACCATTCCATAAGTTGATCTACTTTTTTCAGTGCTCACATTAGTTGGAGATAGAGCTGGAAGTATGTTTTGGTAGAGGCTCAGGAGATCATCTAATAACCAGAGAGTTGCAGGTTCAAATCCCTGTTTCCCCCATTTCACCTTCATTGCCTTTAAGACTTGGACATTAAACTCGTAAAAGAAAAATCAGATCATGTTTAGTGCCAGTTTGATGGACTAAAGCAAAACTACTATGTCTCACAGTCCATTGGTCCATTTTCCGAAGCTACCGTAACTTTTTATTGCTAACTGGAGCTAGCCGCAGATGTAGAGGTGATTTTGGGTTTTTAAGACATTTTGACATTTTATAATTTCATTTCTTACATTATCTCAGTTTAAACTTAAAAAACGCCTTAAGTTCCACGTCGACGAAGCAGGATATCTACAGACACTTTACAAACGCTGAAATTTGTACACAATTTTGCCTTTTTTTAAATTTATTTTCGTTTTTACGTCTACAAGTCTGACTCGGGCATGTCGGGCATCTCCGCCATCAGGTAACCGATGCCGTAGCGTCCGTTGGGAGCTGTGTCGACCACCGGGGGCGCTGCTGTTCCGTTAGCATTGTTAGCGTTAGCGGCGTGTTTGCGGTAGATTCCGGGCATGGGGGACGGCTCCTGGCTGGGACTTTTGCCATGGATGAGGCTAGCGTCATCCGCGTCTTCGGTCTGTGGTGTCTCCGCGATCATCCGTCCTTTTTTGTAGGATACGGATGACAACCCGCCAGGACTGTCGTCGATGATGTTACAGAAGCGGAGTCCGAACACCACAGGAACGGGAAGGATCGCCATGACGACCAGAGAGATGCACACTATGATGCCCCACACGGGAAAACCCAACTTCTGTTCCGCCGCCTAAAGAGAGAAAGGGTGGGGGAGAGAAAGAGAGTAAGAATAGAGGGAAATTTATTTATTTTTAAGAAAAATAAATAAATTTGTTACACATGTAGATCATTATTATTTATATTATGTTTATTGGAATTGGCCATATTGATTCAGAAATGACTTAATTTGGGTTTGGATTCATTAATAGTGCTCCCAATCAACTAAAAAGCACTTAATTTAATGCATACCTAAACTTGAAACGTGTGTATGTTATATATATATATATATATATATATATATATATATATATATATATATATATATATAATAATTTAAAATAAAAACAAAAAAAAAAAAAAAAAACAATAAGAGCCTAAAATTTTGTCAATTTTCTGGAGAAATTATTTATGACTCCCTCCCCTTCTCCTGCCTCTCCCTTGTCTCCCCCCATCTTTGCCCCTCTTTCCCCTGCTCCTGTCGCTGCTCCTGCCTCACCTATCGCCCCTCTCTGCCCCTCTCTCTGCCCCTCTCTCACCTGCTCCTGGTTCCAGGCACTGTAGCTGGGAGGAGTCATGACCAATTGGATGAAGCTGGATCCAAGCAGAAGCAGGAGCAGGATCGGAGTGATGAACTTCCACATGTAATAGTAGAACCTAAACGGAGAGAATCCCAACATGTCCCGAAGGTCTTCAAAAAACCTAAACACAAAAGCACACAAAAATATTAGATCTACAGGTCCTCGAAAAACCTAAACACAAAAACTAAATAACACATGATATTAAATCTTCAGGTCCTTAGAGAGCCTGTACAAAAACAATATTAGAGTGGGGACTAAACACCTAAACTCCACCTACAGGTACATTTCAAATAGAGTTGAGAGAGATGGACTAAAGGGGAGTGTGAGGGGGAGAAGGGGAGAGGAGGGGCAAGGTAAGAAGGTATATAAGGAATAGTGTGATTGGTTAAATACTTTAAACTCCATCCCTGCAGCCAGGTAATCTTGTTATCAGAAACACCAGGCTGATGTCATGTAGTACTTGAAATTGCAGAGGCCACTGAAGGCAGCACAAATTTAGATTTAGTTGTTTTTTAGCAGACAGCTGCAAATTTAACTAGTTTAAACAAAAACTGACAAAAACTAGGAACAGTAGATGCTACTGAAGTGTGTCTCACTTGTCGATGCCATAGACCCAAGCCACAGCTACATTCTCCAGGATCACCACGATGAGCAGGGGCAGAGTGGCAGAGTAGTCGTCAAACATGGCCACAAAGTAGTTCCCTGATCTCTGAACAAACATAAGTCCGATGGAAAAGGCTAGGACACAGCAACCCACTGTAGAGACAGAGAAGAAATTTTTAACAACATATATACTAGTATGAGAGAGAGAGAGAGAGAGAGAGGAAAACAGAGAGCGGGAGAGTGAAAGATCAATAAATGTAGTCCAACGTCTAGTCCCAGTTTAGTCCTAGTTCAGTCCCAACTCAGTCCTGGTTCAGTCCCGGTTTAGTTCTTGTTCAGTCCTGGTTCAGACCCAGTTCAGTACCTGTGAGCAGCTCCTTCCGGACTTTGAAGGTGTCGATGAGCGGAGTGAGAATTCCCTCAATGGTTCCGAACATGCTTCCGAGCCCCAGGTTCACCAGCATCAGGAAAAACATGACGGACCAAAACGGAGAGGCCGGGAAGTGTGTCATGGCCTCTGTGAAGGCAATAAAGGCCAGACCTGTGCCCTGAACAGTCTGAGGAGAGAAGAGAGGGAGGAGAGAGGAGACGGGAGAGAAGAGGAGAGAGAAGAAGTGAGAGAAAAGGGTTAAACAGAGGAGAGAGAGCGAGGCATTCTGACTACACTGCTGTCTGGCAGGGGGCGGGCACTTAGCAATGCTGTCAATCAAACATGTTGCTAACACTAGAGGGACTCTGGGAAAGAGGGCACCTGATTTGTCTGTTATTGACATAAACTGTATAAAAAAGTGAACTAAACGAGTGTTTTCTGACAAACAAAATAGCAAGAAAAAAAACCCATCAGGATCATGTAGAGCGGATTAATACAAACATTTTAAGACAAAAATGCTGAGGCTCACAGCAGCAGTTACAGAGAGAGGGGCAGCAGTATTCCAAAGTAAGTCAATGGAAACCAGGGTCAGAAGGAGCCTGAAAAGCCCACATTCGAACTTCCTGTTTGGAAAACGGCAGCTAGTGAGTTAGCTATGCCCATTCATATACAGTCTATGGTTCTTAAGGTCTTGATTTAGGTAGAAAATAGTGAAATGAAAACCACAGAGAGAGAAGGGGAATGTTTTTTTCTACAGAAAGTGAATTGGAGCTAATGGATGGAGCCAAAATGCTCCCATGCTCACTTTCTATTTTTTCTTGATGTATGTGTGTGTATATTTGTGTGTGTATATTAGTTGTACCTGATTGAGCTCCTTCTCGATGCTGCAGGTC